CGATTGGAAAGTGAGTGACTCACCACTCAACTCAACAGTCAACTATTTCAAAAATAGGGCCCCAGAAGTGTCATTGCGTTGCCCATTGTTGCAATATTCAATCTGCAACTGTAAACTTCAATTAAAAATCCTGCTAGTTGTTAGGTGCAGCTTACAACCATAAAGCGAGGTTTATTGCAGTCGTAAAACAGTTTTTGGTGGCCAAAAACTTAAAACTAGAGGTATGCAGGCGGCCTGACTTTTTAAAGCAAAGCTAGAGTATAACTGCAATAAGCATTTTATACTTTTACGCCAGCCCCGTACGAAGAACGGGTACGCTGCTAGTCTATTTATAAATCCCAAAGTACGGTACTCATGAACTTCTGAGAAAACTACAAGTAACACACCTATAAAACATATACTTAAAATTTTCGTCATGACGAGAAACCTTGCGCAAAACTGGCCATCCATTATTTCATAAATTGCCCTTTAACGTCGAAATTCCTTTCTAAAGGGATCTTTCCAATTTCCATACACGTAATAATGTTAAAAATACCTCAGCTGTACTTATTTGTATATTATTCTTTCAATTTATTACCTTATTAAAATCAGTACCTTATTATTTGTTTGTATTACTGTATCCCGTTTTGTTTATTTCAGCTTAACTTAACCAATCAATAGTTTTATTAATACTTATGAAGTCAAACGGGGTGAAGCCCGTGGGTAACAGCTAGTCAGCAACAACACTCATTTCAAGATTTTTTTATATAGTAAAAACTTCATATTTAGTATGAATGAGGACCCACATATTTTATACAAGTTCCTTTAATAATCTTTTCAAAATACACAAACTTCCTACAGTATACATATTTCTTATTCAAACTAAACACATAATAGATTTAAGTGAAACAAATTAAATATTCTTTCCGAAAACACAATATTATTTTCAAAGGTTGAAATTTCAGTAGGTAATAAATTTGTTCTTAGTTCAGTGCTGTGCAAACCAATTGTAACACTACACTGAACTAATTGACTAACATATTGCCTATTAAATACATTTTTTACATAACAAAATAAAAACAAAATTTCACAAACTTAAATTTGTATAATAAGACAAAGGCAAAGCCAAACTAAATGAATACAATTGTAAACAAAAATACCCCCGCCGCAGCAAACCTGCCGACTAAGCGAATTTCCATTTGTCTGAATTGATTTTCAGTTAAATATATTTTAATAACATTAGGTTTAACGAGCACCTAGGTTTGCTGCTACAAGGAAACTAATAAAGTGTGTTTTTGAGTAAAATATTGATAGCTTAGTACAAAATAAATAAATTTGCCAAGTTTGATCAAAATATATCCATAAACAAGCAAACTACAACATTTGACAATATTCTCCATAAGAATAACATGAGAATTTTAAATTTAAATTTTATTTAATTTTATCCGTTACTAATAACCGAACAAAAATACTTTTGTATACAAAATTATTTGTTTTTTTAAGCTCTTTTAAAAGGTCTAAAGAGAAATTGGGAAATTTTGTGTTTTGAGGGTCAAAAGTGAGAAAAACCAATTTTTACCCCATAAAACCCCCCCCCGTAAAGCCCCGTTCCCATGGTCCGATCATGCTGGTTCGCGAACTCATTCAAGTTTATCCTGCTTTACACCTTTAAACCAAATTTCATCAAAATCGGACCAAAATTACTCAAGTTATCGCGTTCACGGACGTATATATATATAAATCTATATATATATATATATATATTTATAAATTTGAAAAAATGGTGTTTTTGGCCTCTGGGGACATCAAAATGAAAAAGTAAATCGGTCCCGGGTCTAGGTCTTACCGTGCCACCTACGGTAATAGCTACTTCCCTATAGGGAAATTCGCTAATACATATGTTGAATTTATTTTAACCTCAAAGACTATTCAACTCTTCAAAAGAAAAATAGCCTTGCTGATGAGAAATTTTTTAAATTTATTTTTAAATTTTGTTTTGGAAGTCTTTGATTTAATTTCGATTGGGAGGTTATTATAAAATTTTGATCCTGCATACATGTTTTTTTTTTTTTCAAAAAGTTTCAGACTATGGTGGCCGAATGCAAAGTTAACTTTTTCAGAAGGATGTCATGGTTGACACAGATGCACTGAATAGTTCACAAAACACTCCCATTGTGCTCTGTGACCCATCCAAAGACCATGAAACTTTACTAATAATATCTGATAACTAGCTTTCATTGTGCTTAAACCCTTTCTAAAACCAAATAATTGTTCACTAGCCAAAATATTATTATTCTCCAGAAAACTTGAGAGTTGTTTGGATGCTAGTTTATTAAACACTTTTGAAAATTATGGTAGAAGGGAATCTGGTCAATTGTCCGGATTTTGTTTCTCGTCCTTCTTGAAGAGAGGTTTGAGCTCTGCATATTTTAAATGATCGGGAAAAGTGTTTGTTTTAAGAGATTGATTTATAATTATAGATAAAAGTTCAGCTATAAAATTAGAGACAGTTTTTATCAGATCAATAGGATAGTCCCATCCAGCAGATTTTTTTTACTTTTGAGGGATTTGATATTATTAATAACTTCTTCTATACTTACAAAACTGAATTCAAATGGATTAGGTTGGTTTCTTGCTATAGACCTTATTAATTTTAGTGCATTCTCTTCATGAGGTATTAGGCCAATATCTTTCGTGATATTTATAAAGAATTCAGAAATTTCCTTGCCACTTTTGACGTTATTGTCATTAACCCTAATATCAGGAAAGTTGATGACACTTTTTTACAACCGAGTTCAGATTTAATGATAGACCAAGCAGCCTTACTCTTGTTATCTGATTCTTTTATAAATCTACCATTATACATTTGTTTTGCTTCATTGCATTCCTTGTTGAAAGTTAATTTATACCTTTTAACATAATTAAAGAAATTTCTATCATTTGAATTCTGTTTAGTTACCTTTTTCTAATACTAGAAATTTTAATACCTAGTGTCACCCAGGACTTTTTTATTATTACAAGGTTTGGTACCATAAAACTTCATAGGAAATGCATCTTCAAATAAATTTTGAAAAGTTCCAAGAAAATTTAAACAGTTCTTATCAAAAGAATGATTTACAAATACATTCCAGAAGGTTTCTTTTACATTATTTAAATAATTTATTTTACATAATTTTGCCCAATTATTTTTTTTACATTTTTTACCTTTTAGCGAATTTCCCATATAGGGAATAAGCTATTACCGTAGGTCTCATAGTAAGTCCTAGACCCGGGACTGATTTACTTTTTTGTTTTGAGGTCCCCAGTGGCCAAAAACACCCTCCATACAAATTCATATATATGTTTATATCAAAATATATTATTTTCATTATATATATATATATATATAAATATATATTAGCATACTAACTCAGTACCCTAAAATGATTTTTTTTACTATGTTTTATTTATTTTATAAACTTTAGATGTTTTACCTTTAGGCCATTTACTGTATTTTACATTACGGACTACATGTGTTTAAAGTGAGGTTAAATATGTTACTCTCAGGGACATAGCTAGAGTATATGGCGCCCTTGGCGAATAGCTCTGGGCCGCACCCCCAAGAGTGTTCTGGGGGCCAACCTTCCAGCAAAAGGGGGCACCAGGGTTCCTCCCCCGGAAGTTGTTTGCAATTTTAGGTGCCAAATACTAAGTTTTGCTTGTTTTATCAAGTTTTTTTACAAATACTCATCTCATAGGAACTTTAAATGGTAATTTTTTAAATATTTTAATCAAATTTGTCAGTTTGTTTATTTCATACTAAGCTATTAACATTTCAATAAAAAAAAACACACCCAATACCTTTCCTGTAGCAACAAACCTAAGTACCCATTAAAATTAATGTTATTTAAATAGGAAATGAATCAGACAATTTTAAGGGAATATTTTAGTAGAAATCAAGCGGAAAAATGGAAATTCGCTTAGTCCGCAGGTTTGCTGCAGCGAGGGTATTATTATATTTTCATCAGTTTTACTTAATATATTTAAAAATAATGCTCTGTAATGCCTAATTCTAAATTCATTGTTATTGATAATGACTGATGATTAATTTTCTGTGATAAAATATTATCAATGCAAGATTTTGTGAACTGAGTAATTCTTGTCGGAGAGGAAAAATTTATTTAGAAACCACCTTTCTCCAAAATAAAAAAGGACACTAACTTTTGATGTGGGTGGCTGCAAGTTTCTAGAACATCGAATATTAAAGTCAGCCGATATAATACATTTTTAGTAGATGTAGTCAAGAAGAAGTTTTAAAGTTGATGAAAGTTTTAAAACTGATTGAAATTTTAAAACTTCAATCAGAAGTTTTAGTAAGCCTTCACACTTTATAAGAAAATGTTTAAAGTTATCTGATTTTGGTGTTCTGTAAATAGAAATAACAATAATATTTCAAGTTTCAAGTAACAATTTCAATACAAGATATTTGAAAAACAGAATCTTCATTTAAGGCACATAAATCATTTCTTACTTTATATTCTAAATTGTCCCTTAATAGTATGCAAGAACCACTACAAATTCCTTCCTTCCTGCAATAAAATTTGTTATAGAAGTAAAATTTACTAAATTAAAAATATATTATCCGACTGTAACCAAACATACTTTTCCTCACAGAATGTTCAATGCAAATACAAAAAAAAGCCGTTGAAAATATCAGTATGTTGGCTAAAAGTTGAAAAAATTTGATTTTTGTATGCAATGCCAAGAAATGCTAAAAATGACTGTTTTCGGGAGGAGGAATGAGATATAACTATCCTAATTGCGTATTTTATCGCAATTTGCGTGCCTAATAATACCCTGAACTCTTTGATAATGACTACGAAACACCCTGTTTATTCTACTTAAGTTATGGGACAGATAACCATTCAAATACTGCTCAGGTTTGTTTCATTATGGTTTAATCAATGTAATTAATTAAGTAAATCAACATTTAGAAAGCTTATATTTTTCTTGTGTTTGGTAATTTGAAATCGTGTTTTCAGGAGAGCAACCACTGTTATGGCACAATATAAGGTCCAATGAATCATCTCGCTCAAGTTTTAATAAGAGGTAATAAAAACTACTTATACAAAACTTAAAATTGTTATTTTAGCTTTCTGGCTCGGCTACTGCAGATTTAAAATGATTCCAAACTACCGTCTCTTCACAATCAAATATTATGATGTCTGATTTCTTGCATGATCTTTTAACAAATTTATTTATTTTCATGAAGTTTACAAAACTAAAAAAATGAGTGCATATTAATAATGATTTAATACATTCATTACTTTTAAGTTTTATAATGGTTAATGTAATTGCCATTATCATTGTATCTTTACATTAACTGTGTATGTATTAAACATTTTTGCAACTATTTTTAGCTATGCTCTGTTTAGCCTGTTCTGTTTCCTGTATTTTCTAAAATAGTTACTAAAACTTTAGTTTGTAATTATAGTGTAATATGTTTCATATCGACACAATGTTTTATGTTCTTTGTATTTATTTATTGCCATATGTTTTTGTTATTAATCTATATAATTAATACGCTACATGAAACTTTGTCGGTTGAACTCCTCCGCCATTTCTTAACCGATTTTATCCATTGACGTCTCATTGGAAAGAGCGTGTCGCGTAGATTTGCAAACTGGCCTTACATTTTTGAAAAAATCCCTTGGGATCTGCCCCAGTGGCTTTGAAAGTTCCCATGTTATCCTTATGAAGAACATAATTGTTTACATTTTGATCAGCTGTATAATTTAATTGCTGTTATTTATTTTTGAATTCAATGAAATGCGTTGAGTACATTTATTTACTATTTGAGTTAGTGTAAACATAACCCCCAAGACGGATCGTGTTAGTATGGTTGTATCTTAAATTTGTGTATTTATCGTTGTTTTGTGTCGCTATGACGGATCGTGTTAGCATGATTGTAATTTAAATTGGTGCATTCATTGTTGTTTTGTGTAGCTATAATTTGTTTATTTGTTTTTTTTATGCCTCCGACGCAAAGACAACGAAACATAAACAGGAGGCGTAATCGTGATAACGACCGCAGCTACAGAAACAGAACAGTGTGGTGCGTAATAGGCTTAACTCATCACAGTCAGCACCTGACCCTGGACAAACTCAACTATTAGGTTAAAAATGCGCCCTTTAACACTACCCCAAAACGACTTTTCGTTCTCAATTAGTTCTCTATCATGACCTGTGTTGCCTGTACAGCGAGGCATTTTAAGAAGGAGAAAACCGGCCGGAATGCTTTAGGTTTATCAATAACGAAGATAAACATGACTCAGACCATAGTACACATACAGTACAGACCATACAGTACACACCGGTAATCTTATTGAGTTGAGTCTTTTAAACACATTGTAAATATGACTGTTATTCGTTTTGAAATAATTCCTGTAATACTTTGCAATTGCTCGAATTCGAGCAACATGTACACTAGTTCCAATTATTGTGATTTTGTTTACTTTTGTCTTGTCTTTATAAATTGCAAATACAGTCCTTTTTTATTTGTAATAGTCTGACTTTATTTCTACATTTGGTGCCGAAACCCGACGTTATCATGTCAATAAGAAGATCAGAGAGGAAAAGACACCCTCCAGACAGATATACTCCAGTAATTGGGAATAACAACGACAAAACTGTTAATCAATCCCAAACCAAGTAAAGACCAACCATCAGTTTCTGCCAAACCTAGACAATAGACAATAGACAATATTTCTTTATTTACATAATTCATAGAGAATAGTAATGCGTCAACAAATTTTTGATGGTTAACTTAAAACTATTTACAACATTGTAGGGTTGAGGGGAAGATCCACTGGTGCTGTTGTTTCAGGAATTCGGCTTCTGTGTAAAATGGTCTGTCCTGTAGCCATGATGTCAATTTGTTCTTGAAGTGTGGCAGTGGTAGTGTCTTGAGCTGCTCAGGTAGATGATTGTAATACAAAGCTCCTTTGTACGCTGGTTTCCTTTCAAATAGGCTTAGATGATGTGGTGACAAGGCAAAGTTTGAGGCATGCCTTGTGTTGAACTGATGTTTGTCCTGGCGTCTTGTTTGTTGTGAGCTTATTGCGTGCAGGATTGTTTCACGTATGTATAGTGAAATTACAGTGAGGATTTTGAATTGTTTGAAGTGTTCTCGGCAGCTTTCCTGATATTGCATGCCTGCCAGGCATCTGATCGCTCTTTTCTGTTGTTTGAGGACCCTTTCTATGTTTGTGTTGGCTGTTCCTCCCCATGTAGTTATGGCATACCTCAGGTGTGATTCAAAAAGGGCAAAGTAAGCTACTTTAGCCACATCCAGACCACTTATTTGCTTCATTCTGTGAATCACGTAGATGCCTGAAGAAAGCTTCATGCAAAGTTGGTCTACATGTGGTTTCCAAGTTAGTTTTGAATCAATCATAACACCTAGGTGCTTTGTTGTTTCTTTTAATTCTACTTGAGGCAGTGGTATTAGTTGTGTATTCTTGTTTTTGGTCGCGAAAGCCATTTGTACGGTTTTTGTTTCATTCAGGACTAGATCATTTTCTGAGCAGTATTGTTTAGTTTGGTTGAAATAGGTGGTTGTGTTTCTTTCTAGCATTACTGCTTGTTTATCAGTAATTGTGAGGACTGTATCGTCTGCATACATGACTGTATGACAGTCGCTTTGAAGCCAGTCTGGCATGTCATTTGTGTGAAGGAGGAATAATACTGGGCCGAGCACAGAGCCTTGAGGCACCCCTCTTATTACATTAGCAGTTTTTGAGTGGACTTTTTGAGTGGTGTTGTTGTTGGTGTAGTTGATCTCAACAAGTTGTTTTCTATCTTTTAGATAGCTTTCAAACCAATTCGCTTCTTTTCCTGTTATGCCCAAGGTTCTTAGTTTTTGGAGTAGCTGGGCATGGTTTAGGCAGTCAAACGCCTTGCTGAAGTCTAAAAATAGACTAGTGACCATGCAACCCTCTTCCAGCTTGTCTATTATATGTTCTATAAGTTGTATCAGGGCTGTTGCTGTTGATCTCTCTTTCAAAAATCCATGCTGTTGGTTTGTAAGAAGGTTGTGGTGTTCAAGGTAGGTCAGTAGTCTCTGAAGAACAATTTTTTCTATTATTTTTGAGAATGTGGGAATGAGTGAGATTGGTCTGTAGCTTCCAGTGTCAGTTTCTGGTCCTTTTTTATACTTCGGATATACTTTAGCTGTCTTTAATTTTGTTGGGAAAACTCCTTGGTTCAGGGACTTGTTGATTATGTTTGTGAGCGGGCTGGTAAGTGCCTAGTACTTCTTCTAGTAGACGACGATTAATGGAAGTGGAGTTGAAGAGGCTGGAAGAAATACAGAAATTGGAAAGAGCCCATGAAGAAAAAGAAATGGAGCGACAGCGACAAGTTGAAGAAATGGAGCGACAGCGACAAGTTGAAGAAATTGAGCGACAACGACGAATGAAAGCTAGAGAACTAAAGCGACAGAAACAACTGCTTACGGCGAGAGCTGAGCTTGAGTCTGCTTCAAGAAGTAAAATGTCTGCAGAGCTTCACCTTGATGCTATTTTGATGTCAAAACAATTGAAGAGGTTGAACTCCGTACGTTTGTTGATGCTAGTGAAGAGGCCAATGCAGCAGTTTCATATCTACGCCATGGATGTGCCAGAAGTACTTACAAGACCATGCTTGTTATGGCACGTGCCAAAGTAGCACCTCTCAAACAAACAACCATTCCCCGACTAGAACTCCAAGCAGTTATTCTTGGGTGCAGAATAGCTTGTAGCATGATTAAAAACATTGACTTAACTATTTCTCGTCAGATATTTTGGTCAGATTCTGTAACAGTTTTGCATTGGCTGAAATCCGACGCCAGACAGTTCAAACAGTATGTTTCAAATAGAATTGGAGAAATTCAAAGATTTGTCTAAACCCGAAGAAAGGAGATGGGTTCCATCGAAACAGAATCCGGCAGATGTTGCAACTAGAAGTAACAAAAAGTTTACTTCAGCCATGCATTCTGAATGGATCCACGGACCCTCATTTCTAATGCGAAAATCGAGTGACTGGCCAATACAACCGTCCACACTACAAGTCAAGGAAAATGAAGAAACAAAGAAGAAATTCGTTGGAGTTGTGAACAGTGATGAAAACCCTCCTCTTCTGACAGTTGTTAGCATGGGTACACAGATTTATTAGTACTAGATAACCTGTTGCTCGAAATCGAGCAAAACTGCAACTTGTAATAAAAAAAAATAAACAACTAAAAACATAAACAGCAAGACCTCAATCAAAGAGTAATTTTAAAGTCTATGACTGATGACTTTTGTCTGGTGGTCCTCTGTTTTCAGCTTTAAAAATAGCGGCGACATTTATACAGGTCGCATCATTGTAGCGAGGAAAGCCAATTATTTTGTCTCTTATTATGTATATAAGAATCCCCCTTAACTCCTCGGAGCTCTCGTCCCTACACATTTCTGCCACAGTTTTAAAAGATTGGGCAAATGGGTTGTCAATGTGACCCTATTTACCACATATTTTATCATTGAATCTTTCCTTTCAAGTGTCATGGATCTTGAAATTGTAGATCCCCTAGGTATGATCCTCTTATCTAAATGAGCTTCAGAGCTGACCATGGCAAAGGCGGAATTGAATTGACAAATTTTATCCTAATAATTTCTAGATCCAAGCCTCACAGCCCTGATTTCAGATTGGGAGTTTCCAATAAGTTCCTGAAAGTATGGTGAATTCCGCAGATGAGGTAAATGGTTCTCTCATTTATGGCAACAAAGAGTAACAATTGAACTGTATCGGCCAGACTCTTTTTTTTTTGCTTAAAATGTAAGCCACCACAATGTAAACATTTAAAGTTCATTTGTCAAGAATATACGTATCCCACACGATGGTTGCCACTCTGTAATCTTCAAATGATACATTGGGAGATTGATGCAAGCGGCCACGTTCGCGTTTCCTCCAGCCACTCACAGTCTTCGTCTTACTGGTAGCATATTATTTTAAATTTAGATGAATTACGAAAGTTAACAAAACAACAGAAAACACTACAACGGAATTGTTATACACATTGTAAATTACAT